TATATATAAATAATAAAAAAAAATATATATATTATATTAAAATATTTTTTTTTTATACATCTGTTGGATTAATTTTAATTATATTTCTATTTTAAAATATACTTTATTTTGAATTAATTTATTAAGATTTTTTTACTTCTTTCTATAACATTAAAATATTAATTTGTATAACTTTAAAATAAAATAATATATATTAATTATATATAAAAAATATTTTTTTTATGAATGTTGCATTTTTAAAAATACTTATTTTTTATTTATTTATTTTTAAAATAAAACTTAATTTTTATTATTAAATAATCCTTTAAATCAATTTTTTAACAAAAGAATTAAAGGATTTCAAATTTATTAAATTTTCAATTTATAAATTTGTAAAATTAAAATATAATATAATATTTGATTATTAAAGTAATTTAATATAAATAATTATAATAATATATTTCTATTATTACAATGCTTAGGTTGCTTATTTATCTAGCTACTTTAATTAAGAATAAATAAAAACTAAAATTAATTATAAAAAATCGATAATAATTTATAATTTTTTGCTATAAACTAATTGAAAAATAATTTAAGTAAATATATTCATTAAGCAAGGAAAAACAATTTATTATTTATAATATTAAAAGATAAATAAAAAAAAATATAATTATATTTAATAAATTACATATAAATAAATTTTTTTTAATATATTATTCATAAAATGCATATTTTTCTAGAAATATTAATGGAAAATTGGTTATCAGAATACTATATAAAAAATTTTATTAACTTTTAAATTTATGGTTTTTGGACTATAAAAGAAAAGTTTTAATTCTGTTGATTTTAGTACTAAGAATTTAATTTAAAATTAAATTAATTAATATATATCTGTTTTTTCTAATATTAATTTTTAAAATTATAAATTATTTTATAATTATACAGGGCAATTTTATTATTGTTATTATTTAGATTAACAATAATATTTCTTTACTTTATTAGTAAAGTTTATATAATAAAATAAATGATTTTATTGAAGTAACTAATATCATTTTATTAGTATATTAACATTACAAACAATTATATTCAGAAAAGTTATTTTTATTTGTATATTGTTAATTTTTTATTTAAATATAATTGATTGTTTCCTATTTTTAAAAATCTTTATAGATATATGTATTTTTTTTCAATTAAAATAAAAAATAAAAAATGATAAACTTATATATTTAAATAAAATTTTTAAATACATAACTAATTAATCTGTTTTTATTTTATAAAAAATATTAGTTATTTATATAAATAAAAAAATATATTTTTAAAAAATTTTATTTTTTAAAATATTAAAAAATATATATCTTTACAAGCATATTATTAATCTATTAAAATAAATAAAAATAAGAATAAAAATAATTTATAATGGATTTTGATGAAGAAAAATGGTTATTAGGCGAAGGCTAATATTATGAATTTAAAATATTATATTAACCTGAAAAATTTATTGGAAAGAAAATAGAATTAAACGATTTAATATTTGCAATTAGTAAATATGGAGGTATAATGGCGTCAATACCAACACTAAACAAAATTATAATATCAAGTCAATTAACGAAAGGAATATTTTTTTTTACTTGTGATGGTTTTTTATACGAGAATATTGAATTTAGTTCAAACAATTAATTGAAATTAATATTTGAAGAAAGATAAAAAAAAGAAATAAAGTGCTTTGACTTTTTTGATAATGAGGAATTGTTTTTATTATTTAGCGATTATAGTTATTTTATTATAAATCCAAATAATAAAAACGACTAAATAACAGTTAGAAAATTAGCAGTCCGTTAAGAAAATATACATCAAGCTAAAGTAAATTTTTAAAATATAGATATATAAAAATATATTTATATATATATATATAAATATATATATATATATATATATATATTTTTAATATATTTATAGGTATGCTAAAATGGATTTTCTTATTGTACCTTTTAAAATAATCATTAAATAAAATTTTATTATATATAAAATGCTTATAATCCTGATAAAGAATGTCTTTTTAAAATTCCATTTTTAAAAGAACTACCACGAGATTGGATTTTTTTATCGTCTTAATAATCCAATTTAAAAAGCTCTGAATTTTAAATAACACATCCGGTATGCGGAATTATAAGCTTGTCAGAATAATCTGAATAAATTTATTATAATAACATTAATGTAAGTTAAAAAAAAATATAGCTTCCAAACATAAAAAACATTTGCTTAATTGATATATCTCCAAATAATTAACTTATAGCATATTTAGAAAAGACAATTGAAAATTTCGTTTTGCATATACTTTCAAATGATTACGAAGCTTCCTCTTATTTATAAATTCCTGTTGATATTGGATTTTCAGAATTAAAAGATTTACAATTAATTTGGTGTGGAAATGACTGTTGTGTAATAAAATTTAATGAAGGTATTATTCTTGTGGAATCAAAAGACTAAGAAAGAATTAAAATTAACGATTTTTTTATTTTGAGTAAAGAAATTGATGGAATTAAAATAATTACAAAAAAATAAATTAGGTTTTTGAGGAAAATACCAGAATGTCATTTAAATGTTTTTAATGATTTTTCAAGCAAACCTGTATATATATTTTTTTTATTTTTTTATATTTTTTTTGATTAAAGGGTTATAAATTATATCAAAATTATATAAATATTTCTAATCGGATTCCTGTAGAAGATTAGGATTTAAGAAATAGTAAAGAATAATTAAAAGAAGCAGTTTTAGATTGTATTAATAGTGCTCTTTTTGTTTTAAATGAGGATGATTAAAAAGATCTTCTAAAAGCAGCATCTTATGGAAAAACTTACTTAGATTATAATGCTTTTGATCATAATTTATTTCCATATATATTAAAAATAATAAGGATAACATATAATATGAATAGATAAAAAATAAAAAGAATGATAACGTGTGAATAAGTAAAAAAAAAAAACAAACAAAAATTTAAACAGACAAAAAAAAGGTAAAATATCTGTTAAAAAATTAAGAAAAATTATTCAATATTTTACTTACTTATAATTATCATTAATTAGCAATTGATATATGTCAAGATAGTTAGATAAGAATAAAAATATTAATTCATTGGGCGAAACAATTAATAGAAATAAACTAATAATCAAGTACTTCTGATGAAGTAACAGCTTAAAAAATAATCTAATAAGTTAAATCTTAATAAAAATTATTGGCTAATAATAAATTATCTTACATTGATATTGTTGAAAAGGCAATTTAATGTGGGAAAGATAAACTAGCTTTAATTTTATTAGAATAAGAGCCTTAAATGAAAAAAAAATTCCTATTTTATTAAAAATGGGTGAAGAATAGAGCAAAATAGTAAAATACAAAAATATATTTAAATTATAAAAAAAAAAAGGACCTTAAAAAATCAATTGAGTATTTTGAAAAAGCTTTAAATTAGTCACTTATAAGTAAAAATAGTGATTTAATATATAGGACTATTTTAAAAATTGATGAATGTTTATTAGAAGAGAATTTAAAGTTTAGAATTTTTTATTAAAAGCCCGAATTAGAAAATCATTTCAAGAATATTTTAAGATTAAGACTATATGAATGTTAAAATGATAATGAGAGAATATAATCAATTTACAATTATTTTGATAAAACAAACTAATATTAAGAAAAAGGCAATTATTTAGTACAATAAAGTATATTCTAATCAACCAAGAATCTATAATTAGATACACAATTAAAATATGAATAATTACAAGAAGCCGAAAAGGCCTATAAAAATACAAATGATGAGAATAGATTGTTTAATTTATAATGTGTTTAGGATTAAATTAATATAAATCATTTTTATTATAATGAAATAATGAATAAATAACCTGTTTCAGAAACTTAAAATGTAAATAACATTATAAAAAAAGTGTCTGAAACAAAAAATTAAGATGTAAAATAATTATAAAAGTTATATAAATTAAGTGATAAAAGACTTTATTTATTAAAAATAAGAAGCTTATTTGAAAAAAAGGAATACGATTAAATAGAACTTTATTTAAAGTAAATTAATAAAAAAAAAGTTATTATTCCTTATGAAATTGTAGCTGATATTTTTATCAAAAATGATTAAAAATACTTTGCAATTAAATTAATTCAAAACATTTAAGATTTAGAAGAATAAATTAATCTATTAATTGAAATTGATGAACCTAAAAAAGCTATTGCTGCTGTTGTACATTCTGGTAATAAGAAAAGTTTCGAATTGTTGGAATATATCAAAACTAAAATTTTAGATCCGAATATATTATAAGAAATAAATCAATAATAATAATAATAAATGCTTAAAAAATGAAAATTATCATGTTAAATATAAATAAATGTTTTTAAATAATTTCTTATATTATTTAAAAATTAAATTATTATTTATTTAATATGTTTATTACATATTTATAATAATTAATTTTTATTCTTTTATATTTAAAGTTAATTATTTAATTTAACATTATAATTTAAATGTTTAATTAATTATAAAGTAGAAAATTTTATTTTATTTTTTTTAATGAAAAAAAATATTTATAATTGTACTTAAAATTTATATTCAACAAAAAAAAAAATCAAATTATATTTATTCTTTTTTTTTTAAGTTAAAGTATTACAAGATTAATTATATTATTAAATAGCTGCTGTTTTTATTTTATTTTAAAAAAAAACAACAACAACAAAGACGCAATCAATAAATTGATAAGATAAATGGAATTAAGTTTTTTAAAAATAAAATAAAAAATATACCTTTTTTAATTTTAAATAAATAATATTTTCATTTATATAAATTTTAATCATTTATATGTATAAGTTGTATAATAATAAGTAAAAAAAAATTATAACAATAAAATATTTTTATATTCAAATTAATTATCCAAATATTTCTTAATCTGAATAACTTATATATAAAAATCCATCCTCTTTATCTGCGCATTCTTGATATAATTCATTCATTGTTTTGCCTTTTAAATATAAAATACTAATAAAAGATTTGATATTTTACTAATAGATTTTAAATCTTTATTGTTTATATAAAAAAACAAAGCATCCTTTTCGTTTTTAAGTTCTAACTTTCTTCTGACTGTTTATTAAAACTCATGTAGTTTTACATCTTTTGAAACTAAAAACCTTAAAATTAATCAAATTAATTAATAAATTTATTTGTATTAATTTTACTTTGATTTTTGCAAATGATTTAATGTTTTTGATTTTCTGTTCAATTCTACAATTACTGGTATCATATTAGGATATCTTTATTTTTATTTTTCATGTTCTTTTTATCTTTCTTGTAAATTAAATCTTTCTTTAAAAGGTACATATGGCTTATTATTATCTTTATCTTTATCCATTTTTATATAACTATATATATTTTATTTAGTATTTTAACTTTTTATAATTAATAATTTATTTATTTTATTATTTTTTTAACTTAAAATTTTTATTAAGAATAATTTTATTCTGATCTCATATAACATTGTTTTATTATTAAAATAATTTTATTTATAAATAAATTATAATTTCCTTTTATATATTATATTATAATAATAATTCTTAAATTAATATTTTTTATTATTTTATAAATATTTTACTAATTGTCAATAATTTTTTTGTCAAACTTAATTTATTATTAATGTCATATAAAAAATGAATCAAGGCTTTCGTACATATATATACTAATTTATAGTGTGGAAAAAAAATAATTGTTTTATAGTTATTAATCTTAAATGAATTAATATAAATTAATAACTATATTAATAGACTTTAAATAATTTTTAAGAAAAAAATTATAAAATAATTAATTATCCACTAATGAAAAATATTTTTTTAATTAAGTTTAGGAATATGTTATAAATGTATTTTATATTAAGTAAATTACTTTTAAAATAAAAATAAAAATAAAAATATTAGTTTATATTTATATATATTAAAAAAAGAAATATTACTAATAAACTAAATAATAAATTATGGACTTAAGTAATATAAAAAAAAGAGTATAAAATGCACGATTCTTAATGAAGAAATTTTATAATTTTAAGTAATCAAAAAATTTATATAATTTCAACCAATAATAATAAGAAAAAAAAATTGTTAATGCAGGTAATATATATAAGGTTTATTTTAAAATATTAAAATATTTTTAATTAAAAAATAAATAAAAATAGGTGAACAACAATATATTAATAAACATACATTTTTAAATGTTAATAAAAATTTTTAGATAAATGCATAAAGAAGATTTATTGGGAAAAAAATATAGTCTGCAAAATAGTAAAAAATAAGAGAAATAAAAGGAATAGATGTATTGCAATTACATAGATTAAATAAATTTATAAAAGGAAATTAATAAACACCATACGATATATTGGCTGAAAGATATAATTTTTTTAAATAATAAGAATTAAAGGAAAACATTTACGATGAATAAAATAATTATGTAGATAATGCATTAAACTAATCTAATAAAAATAATAAAAGCTAATATTCTATAATTAAAAAAAAAGATTCATCTTTTAATAAATAAAATAATAATTTTTAAAGTTAAAACTATTTATAGGATTTAGAAAAATCAAATATAAATTAAAAAAAATAGAATTATTTATAAGATCCTAAACTGCTTGCAAAAACTAGAGAAATAAATATAATTATTGTAATATTTCTTAAATTCAAGATAATAAAATAATGAATAATAGTAATCTAAAAAATCTAAGCTAATAAAATTCTGCAATTAATATATAATAAAGAAAAAGTAGTACTATAAAAAATAGTATTTATTAAAATATTTAATAAAAAAGAAAATAATAAAAAAATCCAAAATATAATAAAATTGATTAATTTAATATTTATTATTAAAAAGAGGTTTCTAAATATATTTAATAACCAATTATTACAAATGTTTTTAAATAAATATTATATAATTATATTTATAATCTTATATTAATATATTATATTAGTTTGACAATAAAGTCAATAATTAATTAACTAATTTTTTATTTAAAAATAATAATTATAAATCTAAATAAGTTTTATAAATTCCAGAGTAAAAGAATGAAAAAAACATTTAATAATTATCCAGAAGTTAAATAATAAATTGAAAGCTTTTTTAAAATTCTTATATATTATTATAGTAAAAATAAAATTAATTTGATATAAAAGTTAAAAATAAATATAAAGAATAATTAAATAATTATTTTGTAAATATTTAATATACTACTATTATAAAATAATTATAAACTGTATAACTTTGATATTAATTTTTATTTTTATTTTTATTTTTATTTATATTTTTTTTATTTTTTTTATATAATATTTATTTTAAAATATTAAATCATTTATTTATTCTAAAATAATTTTATTTAAATCTAAATTTTTAATTACATATATACAATATATATAAAAAAATATTATTTTCTTATAAAATTGCATATAATTTTTTTATATTTAGGTATAAATATTCATTAAATTAAGTGATACAAAGGATAATATTAAATAATATCATCTTCATTTTATTAAATTACATAAAGAAATTTACTCTTTAACTAATCTTCATTATTAAATTTTTGATTAATCTAATTTTTAATTAAAATATTAATATGTTTATACATTTAATAATATTTTACTAATTTTAAGATTTAAGAGTTTTTAGGAAGTTCATATAAAGTTTCGTTTTCAATGAATTTTCTAAATAGCTTGAAACTAAAATTATTTTAGAAATGAAATATTTTAAAATATGGAGATTTAGAATTTATATTTGCATAAACTTTTTATTTTTAAATTGGAATTATTTAATTTTCGTTTTGATTATAAATATTTTAATTAACACTTGAATTTTACTTATGAATATTAGAATATTTCTTTTACAAATTAACTCTATTTTTGGGAATTATATTTTATTACTTTTAATATTATTTTTCTTGCTCGTAACTAAATATTATATTTTATTATCTTTTTCTATCTTCATATTCTTATATTTATAAACTATTTTATGGTTTATCATTTTTTTATTTATATTTTTTTTATTTTTATTTCATTTTTTTTTATTATTATTCTTCTTCTTCCTCTGAAGGTTATGAAGAACAACAAAAAGAGCAACAACATCGAATAATTCTAAAAAGATAACCTGATTTTATCATAAAAATCAATATAAAAAGAGTTGCCTATAAAATAAAATTTATAATTTAAAATAAATATTATAAATCAAATTTACTAAAATTCCTAAGCCAGTTCCTAATGTTTTAAAACCATTATTTAAACACTTAGTACTAAAATGACAAAAAATATCCCAAAAGTCAGGACATTTTTAGTTACAAGTAACCTCTATTAAAGGTTTTTTCAAAGTACTATTATTTTCATTATAATAAGTTCCATTACCTTGAGGACTAATTCTAACAACATCAGTTGTATTGAACGTAATTTAGGCAAAATCTAAAACATTATTAACTGCATCAGAAAGCGTAACATTACAAAGATTATTTGTTTTTCCTAAATCACTAACTACATTAACACTAGATTTGAAAATAAATAATTAATCTTGATTAAGAAAAAGTTTTTATCCAGAAATGGGCAATACATTTTAATCGCAAGAAAATCCCAAATTAAATTCTGCTGCGAAACTTGATTTATTCAAAATATGAGCTTCAAACTTTCCACTTCCCGAATGACTTTCAAAATTATTAATTTTTACAAGAATAAATTTTCCTTAACCTAACATTGTTAAGAATTAAATTTCCGCGGAATCCATTTCTATTGTAATTAATGTAGACATACTTCCTTCTATAAAAAGAATCATTTATGTATTATTTTATTTATCCCAACTTTCTTAAAAGTCTCCTTTGGGTAAAAGTAAATTCTAAGTAGGCTACCCTTTTTTTATTCTTTCAATATCTCTAAGGTAGAAATGTTCTATTTGATTTTTTAAACAAGAGCCTATTTATTTACTACAAGATCCATTTTCTCTCCTAAATGCAGCATAAGAGACTCCTATTTTGTTACATTCAGTTCCATCTAGTGTAAATTGATTCTTTTCTATTAGCATCCAATTTGAGATTCCTTCTAATACTCTTACTCTTAATTCATTATTAGCTTAAGGCCTGTTTGGGGTTGGGCGTACTAAATATACATTATTATATACTGGAGGAGGTTATGTAGGGAAAAAATCACCGATTATTTTTACTAGAAACTTATTGTCTGGAGATTTTTTGATTCTATCAGTAGTACTTGTTGTTAGCTTGTATTTAAGCTTCCTCTTTTTATTATTATTACCTTCTAGTTCGTATACTTCAACTTTTATTTCATAATATATATAATATTATAAAATTTCATAGCCAGAATACCATCTACCTGGAAAACGTAAACAATGAGCGCTAGCAGAACCTTTTTTTTTGATTAAAAGAAAAAATAGTTTCTTCTTTTTTTTTTTTTTTTTGGATAAAAAAATTTCTCTTTACCTGAATTTAAATTAAATGGAAGGCAATCTACTCCTCTCATTACTTCTTTTCCCAAACCAAAAAAGTCAGCTGCTCCACATTTACAGCAAAAACCTTGTGAATCGAATATTTTTTCGCCTTTTTCATCTCTTTAGAAACCACATGTTGGTGAATCCTCTATTTTTTTTTATATTATATTTTTATTTATTTATCATTTACCATTAAATCCATCTTAGCATGTAAATACACTTTTTGATATTACCTTTTCTTATGGCATACTTTCGTAATCTCTCATATACTTTAATGGGTATACTGCTACAACAGGAGATTTCGTCACTTCTATTTCTATATAGTTTTTAAGTAACATGTTTCCTTCAGGCATTTTTACGGATTTTATTTAGGCTGTCATTTTTTCTGAAACAGTGCTCTTTTTTATATATTTATATTGTTGGGTATAATTTTTTTTTTATTACTTAATTGTTTTCTAATGATAGTACTATTACTGCCTTTTCACTACATGCGTTTAAATTCTGAGATTAGTAGCATTTTTAAATTTCTGTTTTGGATATAAACTCGCATTTAAAAAGAGAAGATAAGTTAATTATGAGATAGATTAAAGTTTTGATTAAAATAAGAAAAAAATTTATCTATTTAAACATTTTTTATAATTTTGAAAATTTTATATATATTTTTTTTTGCTATATAAAATTATTTTAAAAAATTAAAATTTAGCTTAAATTTCTTAACATTTTATATTTTAAAATTTAATAATAAAAAATAAAAACAAATAATTGTTTTTGTTAATAATTAATTTCTAATTTATTATATTAAATTTCTTTTATTATTTAATATTTTCTTTTGTAATATTATATAAAAATAATATAATTGAAATCAAATGAATTTATTTAAGAAAAGAAAAAAAAAGGTTTTTCTAAAAAATACAACTTAATATATAATTTAAAATATTATATTAAAAAAATAAATTGACAAAAACATAATAAAAAATTTTAAAAATAAATTATAATAAAAATTTATAAAAAAAATAAATCAAACATCCTTTCCAATAACTCTTAATGTATCTTACATAGTTTTTACAAGTTTAAAAAGGTTATCAATAATTTAATTTTAGTGATCGAATCTATTGTCAATTTCCATTTCAATATTATTAACAACAATATTAAATTCGCCAACAGTTTTTTAATGAAATTCTTCATTAAATTTTTATTGTGATTCGAATTCATAATCTGCATGTTCTTTTAATTCTTTTAATTTTAAAACTCTTTCCTATTATTCTTTTTCAAGCATATCTCTTAATAAATTAGATTCATCCTCTAACTTTTTAAGAATTTCTTTTTCTTTTTCGATTCTTTCTCTTTTTTCGGTATCAAATAACGAAAAGAGTGCTTTGTATTTTTTAATTAAAAAAAATAACTTTTTATTTTATTTTTTTTTTAAAAAAAAAAATACTTTCCAACTATTTTTTTATTTCTTTTAAATTTTCATCTGATTATCTCAAACGTTCTTCTCTTTCATTATCTATTTTTTTGTCAATTCTTAGACTTTCATTTTCTATGATTTCAAATTTATTTGATACAATTACTGTATATTCATCATGTTATTTTTGAAAATAATTCCTTATGCTTGTTAACTCAGTTTCAAATTTATGTTAAAAAACTAATAATGTCTCATTTATTCTTTTTCCTTCTGCAGCTATAAATTCTTTTGTATTTTAAATTTTCCTTTATATAATGATTATTTATTATAAATAAAAATGTTATCAAATTTTTAAAATGTAATATAAAACCTATGAACTTCTAAAAATCTAGCTTCTAATTATTTTCTTGCTTCTTCACGGGAATTCTTCATTTCTAAAAAATCATCTCGCATTTGATCTACTTATTTTCCAAATAAAGTCAATTTTTCATTATCACTTTTTAAAGGTTAAAAGTTCTTTTTTGTTAAAACACTTGTAGTTTACATGTATTTCAGTAAAATAAAAAATTAATAAAAAATATATGTTTAATTAAAATTATGAAGAACTAGATAAATATAATTATATAAATATATAAATATATATATTTATTATATTATTTTATTTATAAAATATATAATATTTTTTTAATATTTTTTATCTTTAATATTAATATTTTTTTCTTTTTTATTTTATATTATATATAATATTCTTATAAAGATATTTAATTTTCATTTTTATTTAGCATTTTAATATTATTATTCATATATAGAAAACTCTTTCTCGTTTGCATCGAATTCTTCTACTTATAATTATTAATTAAATATATCATTTTCTTCTTATAATTAATTTTTTTATTATTTATTCATTTAGTTTATTTATATTTTTTGATTTAATTTTTCATTCTTATTAATATTTAAGTTATTATCATTTTATTTATCATAATTATTAATAACTTATTTTTCATCTTTTTTTTATATTTCTACAGTCTATTTTTGATTATTTATATCATTTTGTTAAAATGTTATTTGTTATTAAATTTGATTAGAATTATATAAATTCATATTTATTTAATTAATAACTTAGCATCTTGTACACTTATAAAACTAACTTACTTAAAATAAATAAAATAAAAAATAAAATAAATATTTTTGAAAAATACCTCCTGTTTAATATAATACATTAGCTTTACAATTGCCACATTAAAAAAAATTTAATTATGAATTAAGAAAATTTATAACTTTTTTTTTTATTGATAATTTTTTTTTTTTTTTTTTTACTCTTTTAAACAGTTCTACATTAGAAACATTAAAATTATTTTTCACTATTTGGAATTTTTTATTATACATAACAAACATAACATGATACAATTTATCTTATTGTTTAAAATATATTATATAAAAATAAAAAAATAATAAAAAATAAGTATTTAAATTTATTACAATTATTAAGTATTGTTTTATTAGTAAATAAAGCCTGATTAATTGTAAAATTAACTTTGTGTATTTAATTATTGTTATTAATTACTTTTGTTATAGTTTAATTATATTTATTAATGTTATTACTAATTGTTATTTTATTATAAATTATTATAGTATTTATGATTTTAATTGCAAATTATATCTATTACATTATTTTTATATATTAAAATTAAAAAAATTATATAAATAAAAATATATGTTAGAATAATAATATATATATATATATTGAAAAATATATTATTTATTTATTTTATATAATATTTTATCTTTGCTATATTTATTATTATAATATTATTATTTTTATTATATATTATGATACCATTTTATTTTATTTAATTATTTTAATTTGAATTCTAATTTTTATAATTTTATATTTTAGGGTCTTTCTTTTAATCTTTTTTTTATGATTACAATAAACAATAACATAAAATATTATATATTTATACTATATTCTAAATCATCTATATTTATATATTAAGTTTTTTAATTTTCTTCTAAAACAATAACTGAATCTTATAGTTACAATACTGAATTATCCATTTAATCATTTTCTTTTAATAAATTTTAATTCATTATTTTTATTTATTATAAATTTAATATTTTTAAAAAAATTTTATATAAAAATTTGTTTTTATATTATTTATTTTTATTTTTATTTTATATTTATTATTTTTTAATTTTTTTCTATATTAATTTATATTCACATAATATAAAATAAAAAAAAAAAATATAAAAGAAAAAATTTTAAAAAAATATATATAAATATTTTTAATTAATATATTATCTTATAAACTTAATATCAAAATATATTTTTAATATTCGAAAAAATAATTAATTAAATTGCATTTTTATTAATAAAATTAAATAATATAATATATATTATTAAAAACTTTATTTATTTTTTATTATAAAGAAATTAATATTTATATAGATATTGACTTAACTTTTTTAAGTAAGTTTATATTTATTATAATAAAAAATAAAAGATTTTAAAAAACAATTTAAAATTAATATTTATAATATATAGAAGTAAATAATTTTATTAATAAATATACATTTATAAATATTAACTTAAATTATATATAAAAGATGATTTTCGCTAAATAATTTATCTGTAATTTCATATTTTTTCTAATTTAGCTTTTTAAACAAGTGGATTATTAATTTTTAATTATTACTTTCCCTGTGAAACAAAATCATAGTCACATTTATGATCTTCAGGCATTCTATGTTTATTACAAAAAATGTACTCACATTTACATTTTACACCTAATAATCCTACTTTTTTACTACAATCCCAACATTTTTTAATATCAATCTTTTTTTATTTTTTAAATTATTTTTATTTTATTTTTTTTACTTATATTTTCTTTGATAATTAAAGAGGACTATCTATTTTAATTATTTTTTCAATCAAGTTAATATCAGTCTTTTCTTTCTCTTTTTATTAGTTTTCAATTGCTTTAGACGATTTTGTTTTTTAATTCATTTGATTTAATGCTTGATTTATGGGAGGATTTGTATTTTTTATAGTTTCATTCTATTTTTAATAATGTTTTTGTTATATATTTAATCAGCTTCTTTTTAATTTACTTATAACATGAAGAACATAAATTTTCATTTACAGGATTTCCATAAAATTATTAACACCCTGTGCAAAGTTTTGAGGAAGATTATTCAGTATTGTTATCCATTTTTTAATTTAGTATTATTACTTTCTTTTTAATTTTAATATAATTAAATTTAAGTTATTAAATAAAGTTGCAAATTATTTTTAATTAAATAATATATATATTTAAATAATCATAATTTTGAATTTGATATTTTTTTCTAAATTATTATAAATTAAAAATTTGGACCTAATTTTGTTATCAAATATATATGATAAAATACATCACTTTTTATTTTTAATTTTAATTAAAAATTATTTAACATTAAAAATTAAATTTATTAAATTTTTCATAATTAAAAAAATACAAAAATTATATATAAATACAAAAATTGTTTGTTTAAATTTAACAAAATTTTAATATATTTAATGTTTAAAATATATTTATTTAATATATTTAAATATAATTTTTAAATTTTATGTATTTATTAATATTTATTTAAAATTTTAGTAAGTATTTATTCATCATTTTTATAAATAAAAAAAGCATGAAACAAAAATAATATTTATTCAAGTTTTTATAGTCATTTAAGATTTTAGTAAAAACTATCATTTAAATTTTGTTTTAAACTTTTTTATTCAAATTATTTTTTTTATAAAAATCAATCATATTTATTTATTGTTAAAGAATCATTTTAATGCGATTGTTATTAATTATTTGTATTTTCAAGGTTTAATTTATTTTAATCTTTTTAATCATTTTAGACTTTAAATATAAATTATATTTAAAAAAATGATTATATTATAAATAAATTAATAACCTGAAATATTGTATTTTATTCCAAATAGTCCTAAAAACGCTTTAAGAATATCATGCCTTCTATCATAAATCATAGTAAAAAAAACAAAGGTAAAACATAACAGGAAACTCATACCATTTTACAAATAATTATTAATTATATTATAGAAAATTTTAAATTAAATTATATATATATACAAATTATTTAAAAATTAAATAATGATAAAAATTTAAAATATAATAAATAAAAATAATTGTATAATAATATAAATAAAATAATAATATTAATAATATTAATAATATTAATTGTAATAATAATAATAATAATAATAAATATAAT